CCGTTTCTGGACTTTCAGAAGGCCTGTTTTTCGCCCTCCCATAGCCTCTGCGCGGACCCTGCACTTACTTCCAAAACAGGCCGCGTGGAGACTCCTGGGAGGGGTGGGGTGAGTGCCAGCCTGTCGGTTCAACTACCATTTCGGCAAACAGTTTGCCCGAGCCAGTCCGAAGCAGTAGAATCCCACCCTTGCGCCTGTTCTTCTCACAAAACTATCCCCTTTCCTGCCTCCCCCCCCCGCTCTGGGCCACCAACCCGGAAAGATTGGGGAACTGTGTTCTAGTCCAACCTCCGGCTCAAGCCAGATGCCATGTAATTGCTTCACTCAACGATTGCAACCCCTATTGCAGTCATTAAGTGGAGAGAAGGAAAGAGCTGCTTGCCAGAGGGACTCAGCCCCCATGTGAGGTCAAATTCCTGCGGAGGCAGAGATGCCCTCCACTACAGTCCCAGTGTCTCAGGGGGGCCCCTTGGGAAAATTAACCGCTCATCCCTTATTTAATGGAGTAAGTCTACTACATCCATACAAAGCGGATCAGCTGCCCCGGGGGAACAACTTGGCAGGGAACGGAGGCCTTGACATTCTTAAGAACCTTCCGTATTGTTCCTCCCTCCACGACACTCTAAGGTCGTCCTCAGCTTACGACCATCATCGGGACTGGAACATCCATTGCTAAGTGATGCAATTGTTTAAAGAAATTGTTACGCCGCTTGTCACCGTGGTCATTAACCGTGTTGCCATGGTTGAGTGAATTGTATGGTCGTTAAGCGAATCCAGTCTCCCCCTTCGACTTTGCTTTTCGGAAGTCCCCCAAGAACAAGGGTGTCATGCCCCTGTTGGAATCTGATTCCGAGGGGGAGATCGAGCAGCTGACAGGGAGTGGGAATGTGGCTCCGGAGGAAACAGGGGAAGGGCACAGTCTGGCTGGGCATTCAGAGGAAGACCCAGGGCCACCCCCTCTTCATCCTAGGGCACGCAGGGAGGAACGGAGAAGGGAGCAATGTGAGTTACGTGGGTTACAGGGGAGGAAAGGGCCCTGATTCCCTTCATTAGCTGCAGCTGGGAAAACAGGATTTAAAAAGGGCGTTTGTGCACAGCACCTTGCTGGAAGCAAAGCGTGCATTATCTTTGTTTCTCAAGTCTTATCTGGGTTCTGGCGTCCTCCCAACTGTGTGTGGTTCGTTATCTTTTGAAGTCTGCAATTCCTTATCCTTCCCTGTCTCATAATTGCTGCAGCGTGGTTTGTGTTGGTTTTTATTTATAATTTATTTTCCTTTGGGTTCGGACTGAATTTCTTCCCTTTAAAACCTGTTCTTGGGAGAGTTTTTTCTCCAGCCAATGATAACTGGACATTGGGGGCCAAGCTGGAGGTATTAAAGGGACTTTACCTACTTTTTGTGACTTTAATGCTTTTGTGCCATGCCCTGGGTCATCACAAAGGGTCTTCAAGCTTGGCAAGTTTAAGACTTGTGGACCAACTCCCAGAATTCCTGAGCTAACATGACTGGAAGAGGAATTCTGGGAGTTGAAGTCCACAAGTCTTAAAGCTGTCAAGTTGGAAGACCCCTGCCCAAGAAGGTCACAGATGGCAATTATGTGACTCTCTGGGACATTGCAACCGTCGTAAATGCATCCCAGTTGCCAAGCACCCCAATTTTGATCATCTAACCACAGGAAGATTGCAATGGTCATAATTTCTACTTTTACTCTTTTCTTTACAGGAATAATTTGTACTTCTCTCATTTCCAATCCGAGCTGAAAGTCCACATACACACACACATACAAAAACCAGTTAGAGTTGAAATTGGCTCCAAAGACCCAAAAGAGACCGAGAAATCAAGATGAGCCTCATAACCAAGTGAATTGGGAATGTTACCTAAATTGCTGTGTTCCTCTTCGTCGGTTTCTCGCTTGGCTTCTCGGAAAAGAGGCTCTGGCACCGCGACGGATGGAGGCTGTTCAGCCTCGGCCTCTGGAGAAACCTCGTTATCCATCTCAAACAGCCCGAGCACCTGAAGCAGAAAAAGATCCCGTGGTTGTTAAGGATTACCTGCATAAAATATTATAAGTTATGCTTCTCTGTTTCCTTTCATTCCTTCTAGCAATATTTTATTGATGGGTTACAGGTAGTCCTTGACTTATGACCACAATGGAGCTTTAGGACAGATGGATTTCAACTCTCATGTTGGCTGGGGAATTCTGGGAGTTGAAGTCCAGCCGTCTTAAAGCAGCCAAGATCAACCAGTGAAACAGCTTTGCCTTCAGAAAGTGGTGGGAGCTTCCTCACTGGAGGCTTTCAAGAAGAGACTGGACTGCCATCTTTCCGAAATGGTGTGGGCTCTTCTGCTGGGGAGGGGGTTGGACTGGATGACCTACAAGGTCCCTTCCAACTCTGTTAATCTGTAATAAGATTGAGCCCAACATTTCTGCT